GATGTTTGTATTCTTTATAAACGTAAATGTAATATATTATTGAATTATAACTTTTATTCAGTAAGTTCGATTAACCGTACGACTACCGCTAACATCCCTACCACTGCACACAACTCTACCGGCACTGTTGCCCAGCCTATGAGGTATCGGTGCGTTATACGCGGCTTCCGCATCCATCCCCCGATACATACATTCTGTACGACACCTACCCCTGGGGTCTCCATCTATACATATATCATCGACTTTATATTTCTGAGTATATCGATTATGGGAACTGTTGTTTTAGTTAAATTGGTGTTTTTGTACGACATAGTGACCCTACCTAAATGGATCTCGCTACGCGTATAGTTATAGTGACTACGATATTTATTGACTTATTTTTAAAAAATTAATGAAATTTGTTTCCTTGTTAAAATATATTTACAAATTATGTCTGCTATGGTATATAATTAAAATTATTATTATAGTGTATTATTATTATTTTACAGTATATTCTTTTTAAAAATATTAAAGCATGAATATTGTATATAAATACGGTATATGAGTGCATAAAATGTACAAAATTATTAACGTGTACACTATATTAAATCTATAATTTATATAGAATGTTATGATTACACTATACTGTATACTATGCTTCATTATATGTATAAATTTATATAATTATATATATAATTTAAATTGGCTTACAATATAATACTGAAAATATTTGTTTACATGATTTGTATTTAAAATATTGATTTATATAGTGTACAAATTTAAAATAGACAATTTATTTTAGTATCATTGTTATAGGTTAACGAACTTACTGAATAAAAGTTATAATTCAATAATATATTACATTTACGTTTATAAAGAATACAAACATCAAGATAAATGTTTAATTAATATCGTTATATTATAAGTCTATTATTGGATTTTATTGTTGGAAACTAATCATTATAAACAGACTCCGTGGATATGGGGTATAAGACAATTTATAAAGATTAATTTAAATTTTATTCTAAACCAAGGTCAAGGTTAAAATCTAGGTCATAATTTTAATTGGTTTATTATTTCTAAGACTCTGCTATTAAAGTAATATGTACCCTGGTTACAGGTTATATGTTTGCAATGTTATCGAGTGCCAATTGGAATTTATATGTGGGTTAGTTATTGCAACCTGACCTAGGTATTGTTGGTAATAATTGCGTGTCTATTAATCACACTCAAAAGTGACTAGCTTACTTCCTGATAGTAATCCAAGACAATATTGCATTTGACCAGACACAACTAGCCCTAGACGACTTTATAGGGATTTTGACAGTATAGAGGTCTATAGAGGTATAGAGGTGTGAACGGAATGTATTGGCGACCGATTGGTACAAAGTTTAAGGCCTTATATTAGTGTAGTTTTTAGAAGTTATATCGATCGGCATTACAATATTTTTATTACCATAAATTTAATATTGTTATTTGAATAAAATTTATTTATTTCTTTTGACATTTTTAATATTGCTATTCAAATGCTATCATATTTGTTATTCATATACATAAACAAATAATACAGTTTTAATATTTTGTATGATAAATATAATGGCACTTTGCATTTATTATTGAGTGTAAAAATATATTTTGATAAAGTTATTTGTTTTTGAATTTTTTTACCAGCATAAAACTATTCAAAAGTTAAAATATTTTTTATTCGTATATGCTATACAAGTCATAGTAATATTCAAGATTGTGAAATTAATAATAATATTAAATTTGTATTATCAAATATCTATAAATCCCTTATAATGTTGGAAAATATGGACCTTGATCAGCTCATACCCCCTGAATGGTGTGTATGAACACAATATTAATAAAGTCAATGTTATACAATTAGTAGGTTATTTTATCATTAATATAATAAACCTATTAAAATTAATTAACACAATACCTAAAATAAAAACCTAAAAAGCATTATATGAAAATACCATTAATTATCAATATAATAATAATTATACAAAGTTTCATATTACACAATATCATTAAAAGTTGAGTAACTGAAGACCTCTTATGAAGACACTAATGGATTGACAGACAAAGTCCACCAAACATCGAGTCCATTGACTGAACGGGTGATCAATCGGAAACTTATAGTCCGTTCCCTAAGATATATGCCACGAGTGGACAGTCGGCACCCATTAGTTCGTCAACTAATCAAAGAGTCGGCCGTCAATCCACTCCTCTATTCGTGTATTGGTTTCACAACCAAAGCGTAAGTATTTGTTTATGTCTTTGATTTCAATGCCTTTAATCTATGATTGTTTGCAAATATCATTCAACACGACATCCACTCATCAAATCTGATCCCAAAAACTAAATTATATCTTAAATATTAGCCATTATTTCCGTATTCACAGCACTTCTGCCAACTCCTGAAGCCATGACTCTATGAGCCATACATTCAAAAGGGGCGCCAATTGTGTGGCATTTGTGCGGTTGCTATGGATATGTTGGGTAAGCGTTGAGTGAATTGTTTTCAATTCACAGTCCATTCACTCATCCATTGCGAGCCATCTCTGGTCTCATCCATTATCTCATCCCTAACCGCATCACCGGCTCATCCCATCCGATGGCCACCACTTCAAGCGCGGGCACGAGTGGTAGTGACCACAGCGGCACCGGTGGTGGCAATGGATTCAAGTATGAGTTGGAGGAACGGGTGCTCTGTTTCCACGGGCCGCTCATCTATGAGGCCAAGTGTCTGAAGCGGATCCATATCGACAACTCGTACCGCTATTACGTCCACTACAACGGTTGGAACAAGTCTTGGGACGAATGGGTCGACGAGTCGATGATTATGGCGCTCAACGACCAGAACCTAAAGCGCCAGCAAGAGCTCAGACAATCACTACAAGCCGTCAAACAGGCGAACGCTTCCAACGCCAAGAAACGCAAGACAACGACCGCTCAGACCACGGATGGCGCCGTCAAAGACGCGACTCCGGCGACGGCCACCGATGGGTCCAATCGGCGCACAAAGACGTCGTCGTCGGCCGTCAAGAATGGGACCAAATCTGGCGACAGTTCTAACGGTTTGTCTTCGCGTTTGTGGCATTCATTTGGTCTTAAGGTTTGCCTTCTCTTTGCAGACAATGAGAGCAACGGATCCACAGACAGGAAGAAGAAGAAACGCAAAACAATTGCTCGGATTATGTCTATTGAGGACTCGTTTACCACGAAACTGGAGATTAGGATCAAAATACCGGACGCACTGAAGCCGTGTTTAGTCGACGACTGGGATCTGATTACGCGGCTGAAGATGTTGTACGACTTGCCGGCGAAGACGTCGGTGGAGACAATACTCGACGACTATATGCGCCAAAAGGTGGCCGAAAGCGGCGGCGCTTCCGAGGAGAGCGTTATCCTCGAAGTGATCGCTGGCATCAAAGGCTTCTTCAACGCCATGATTGGCAGTCAGTTGTTGTATAAGTTCGAGCGAATCCAATACCAAGAGCTTCTGGTCCACCACAAGGACACCAACACCGGGATCCAGATGTCGGCCATCTATGGGGCCATACATTTGTTGCGGTTATTCACGCGAATCAATAACTTCTTAGCATTCATTCCGCTCAATGAGCCGATGGTGGAGTTGATGTCGAAACACATTCACGATTTGCTTCATTACCTCTCATCAAACACACACCTCTTCACGGCGGGTGACTATTCCGTGGCGTCGCCCGAGTATTGCCGCAAATGTCTCTGAATTTTGCGCTACAATTGAGTTGACGTTTAGATTTTGATGAATATCTTCCGAGTTTTGTATATATTTTGTGTCCATTTCCTCAGATTTATGTTTCAATTAAAAGTTTAATCATTTGTTTAATTTTAAACAATTCATTTGTCATAACTATAGGTGTTTAATATAAAATTATTGCTACACTTTTTTTTAATTATAAAAGTTTGTCTTAAATAAGGATTAAAATGAATGAAAAGTTTAATGAAAAGAAAATATTGAAATCTAAATGAAAGTCAAATAAATAGAGATTTGTTTGCGAGTGAATTGATGGCATGGGTTGACCACTACTTGCCGACGCCCTGGTATTGTGAGACCGACTTAACCTTTCCCTGTTGTTTCATCAGTTGCTTGTAATATCCAGAACCGGTTGACTCAGTCGATGGCGTCCTCTTCACGTTATCTTTCGGTGAAGCCTTTGTGGCCGGTTTTGATGAGCCTTTGGACCCTTTGCCGGAAATGCCGGCGTATTGTGATATAGACTTCACTTTCTGATTGCCTTTCATTAGTGTATTATAATAGTCAGTCCCGGCCTCGTCTTCCTCCTCAGTTCGTGTAGTCTTCGAGGCCTTCAATAGGTTGGGATCTGTCGGCGTCGCCGGCGAGTCTTCGCTCTCTCTGAAGAAGTCCATCAAATAAGCGATTATTGAGAGGATTGGGATCCAGAAGAAGAAATAAACTCCGATAGCGATGCCGACACTCATCAGCCAATAGATCTCGTGGGCGTAACTCTGAGCGCCGTTTTCTTTGGGAAGTTTGCGGTTCTCGGACGCGAAATACGCGGCCACACCTCCCGCACCCATACCTAACAGGATTAGGAGGAATAGGTAGAGGTATCGGACGCATAGACAACAACCCCTGCCTTTAGCCGAATAGAGGCCTCTCTTAACGCAATAGCGATACAAAACACAGAGAATGACGAACACGAGGGCAGTGCCGGTGCTGGCCGTCAGACCCGTGAAGAGGGACGGGAAGAAGCCTTCGCTGAAGTCGTGGCAAAACACGTCCGCACAGGGGATGACATACAGACAGTGCACTAGAATTACATTAATGGCCGCAAAGAAGAGTATAATGTATTCCAAAGGAGTGAGTGTTTGGCTCGGATTGAGTTCACTCTCGAGTTGTCGCAACTCCTTAGAGGCGGCCGGATATGACTGAACGGTAAGGGCTTTCTCAGGGCTTAACGGATTGATGGGTTGTCCGATGTATGCGATGTTCGCCTCATTGTTGCTGATCTCCTGTATCTCAACTGTAGTCACATTTATAGATCCCGTGCCGTTGTGTGTGACGACAACTCTGCTGATGTCAGTCAACGGATCCCTTCTGTAGAGTAGAAATCGACAGACCTTTAGGTTCGTTGAGTCCGTCTTCGGGATACTCGACTCCAACTGTTGCGGAGGGATTTGGATGACAACGAGTGACCTCTTGTTGTCCATTATGTCCAAAGAGATGGTAGTCTTCGACAACTGGAACTGAGGCTTAAATGAACCGAAGATAAAGCGGACTATATATCGATATCGCGCCGAACCGGTCGTACATTTGTCGCACATCTTATCCCAGTAGTAGACGTCCGGCGGGAATAGGAAGTACACCATCAGGAAGAGCAGTGCCATTGATAGCCATATAATGCCTGCTATTATATACGCCAACCCTTTCTGAACCAAATTTGAAGACATCTTTTCACAGTTGTCTCAAATCACTGGACTTTTATTTAATTCAGTTTTAGTTGTATTTCTATTTAAATTTTAAAATCTAAATCTAAATCAGAATGAATGCAAAATAATTCGCGAGATTTAGGATTGTTTGTAATATTGAGAAATATTGAAATCAATTCTGTGCTTAACGTTAGAATTAACGGACTTTTCTTGAACTCAGAATTTTACAGAATTTAAATTCTAATAAATCTCGCGATTTCTCGATTCTGTAAAACAATAGGTTAGGAATGAGCCGTTTGTTGGGAATTGAGTTTAAATTACAAAACTTATAAATAGTTGTCATTTTCACTCAATTAGATAATTGTCTTGTTTTGACTGTAAAGCATGTCTACTGACATGAACTGGTTATTAGACTATTTGTCTGCCATTATAATGACCGCTCTATTGATAATATTCGTGACCATTATTATCTCGATCTATATCTTTGGCTCCAAACCGATGGACATCTGGTTTGATAAGTACTATCTCTGCGATACAGTGAACGCCACTCACAGACACATTGTCCGCATAGTCATCGACACTCCCATCAGAGAGAATCAGTTCGTGGACTACAGACTCAATCTTATACTACAATCTTATAGTGGCCTCCAATTGCTTAACATTGAATTGGATGGAAATGATTTGATGACATACTGTCCCTTCGATGCCATGACTCCCAACAAAAGTGTCATTCATTTCATTCTCCATACGAAGACCTCACTGGAGATGATGGACACCATTGTACTCAATCTCAACACTCCCGGAGTCATCAAAGTTTTCAACGTCGAGATCCAGGGGATAGACTCCCTGTCGGCCAACAGGGCTCACGTGGGCCTCGAGATCACCAAATTAGGGACAGCCGGCGCTCTCAAGAGTCAGAGCTTTATAATCACAGCTCTTAAGCAAAGATCTATCGAGTCGTCAGCCTTTCCTTCGCGTCTGCTCTCGTCCTATGAATACATTGTTTTCGTATTCATGACAATCAATGTGATGGCCGTCTTGTGCTCAATGGTTGTCATCTGCGGTCAAACCATTTGCGAGAAATACAACAGCTTTCAGACAGCCCTCTACACAGCACTGGTAGCCTGTATGCTGTCGGCGCTCGTATTGGTGGTTGTGATCAGTATTTATCGCTATTTAATTAAATACAAATGTGAGACCACTTACGACTCCCAGGGATGGAAAGGTATTCGCATTTCATACCTAATAGTAATCATAAGCACAGGCATAGCATCGGCTGTTTTCGCCTCAATAGTCGTGTCCAACAAAACCATTGAAGAAAACAAAACCTTCAGAAATAGCAATCAAATCAGACCACTCGTGGCATATATCTTAGGGAACGGACTATAAGTTTCCGATTGATCACCCGTTCAGTCAATGGACTCGATGTTTGGTGGACTTTGTCTGTCAATCCATTAGTGTCTTCATAAGAGGTCTTCAGCCGTCTTCAGACCACTCTTTGATGTCTTCCTCTTCCATCGACCGCCACCTATCGTGCCCTCCGAACCTCGGGTCAGTCGGACTGTCCAGACTCCCAGCACCTGAAGCCAGTGACCGCTCGTACTATCCGGACCAGTAATTTGTCCGAACTCCCAGCACCAATAGTCACTGACCACCCGGACTGTCTGAATTCCCAACACCCCTGACCCACACCCACCCCTTTCCCTCGGAGGGCACTATTCATATCTTGGAGGCTTTGATCCCTCACCAACTGATCCGTTGGTATGAAGTAAGGACTACTCAACGGGCGTCGGAAGGCATCGAATCCACGATCTCTTAACTGTTTGTCTCTTTGTATGGGTTTTCGGGGGATTCGGTCCCAACGGCACAGCCATAGGTAGTCATGAGAGGTGATGACCTGTCGTGTACAGCAACGGATGTCTTAAGCCAAGGGTAGGTCTCCTGTGAATCGGTGTCTCATCTCTTGTTGAGAGTCATTGACGGGTCATCTGTGGATCGCTTCTGACTTAAGACGTATTGTGGCAAACGGTTGGCCAACTTCTTGAATGCTAATTCTGGAGGCAATGGTAGGGAAAGAGAGAACATAATCGGTTCAATTCGTGTCACATTCGGGTTGGAATGGCTCTGAAGCTCTCCGCACACTCGGAGGGAAGTCTTCGGCACCACTTCCTCTACTCCTTACTCTTTCCACTCGGAAGCCATCGCTAATGATATTCAATACTACTCGAGGAGGAGGAAGGCGTGTCCTCAGAGCCCGTATCTATCGCTATATCGGTGTTGAAGGAACTGGTGGTCCTGTGGTCAGTACTATAGGTTTGGTGGGTATCTGTTGGGATACAAGAAGACAGTGGTTAGTATTGAATGTCTGACGAGAATGTCTTCCAATGGATTGTATTAATCAGTGATTGTCTGCAAATATCATTCAACTAATGGTTCCAATGATGATAAGCGTCTTCTCCGGTGATTCTCAAGTGTATTGAAAAGTACTTGAAATCAAAGTTAAGTGAGTTTTCAAATCTAATTGTTTGACTAATTTTTTGAAAATAACCAAAACTTGTAAAAGGTTTTGTTCATTTTTTATAATTAACCAATAAATGCATTAATTATTAACAATGCTATGAGATTTTTATACATATATTGATAACATACAGTATAACAGAATTGGATAAGAATTCTAAGGAATTATTTTATAAAATTTATTATGATTTTGAAACATTAGATGGAGATTCAAGTACTGTATAAACAGGGTCTTACAGTTAGAACCAGATATGAGAACAGTTTATTATTTTTGAAATCAAATCTCTTGTGTTTAAATAAATTATAAATCAGATTAAAGGTATTATATAGTTGACAAAAAGAGTCATTAAACAAATCACTCATTTATCAAACTATCAAATATACTTTGTCTCTATAGTGTAGCAAAAAAAAGTTAACAAAAATTTTATATAAAAGTATCGTTTGGAAGCATATGTGAGGAATGGATTCACATCTCATATATTGGGAGCAAAGCCTTGACTCTAATGTCAGATATTACTGAAATTATTATGAGTTTAGAGGAAAGGAAAGGGGTATAAATGTGTGACAGATGTCTGACAAACACAATCTATCAGATAAGGCATACACTGTAATCACAACTCAATGTGTATCATATTTTCTTATTACTGTATGACAATTTTGCTTTATTGTCAATTTATGTAAACCTTGAGCTCCGGCTGTCCTAACAATTTGAAATGATTTTGCAAATTATCATTAAAGAGTATATGAGTATGAATTCACTTCTTACAGAATTACAGCACAAATATAGTATTTTGTATTTTCAATCAGTTTGACTTTATAGTATAGAGTAGAGAATAGTGTATAACAAATAGTAAGACTAAAAATAGCTGATAAGTGAATTGAATTCAATGTTTTTAATGACGATATGATATCAAAATGTGGAAAA